ATAATTGTTTGCATATAGCAATGGGACAATGAGTGACAAGATGGAAATGTTACTCAGGTTGTGACATTTTTTGCAGGTTTTTGCACCAAGATAAGAGTATTATTTTGTAAACAAAACGTACGGTTAGTTCTCTCATGTGCAGTGATTTATGCTTCTTCTGCAATTTTTTCAGGTGACATTTTCATTTCATTTTTTTTTTTTTTTGGGTTACAGTTTTACTCGAGCATTTTTTCTTTTTAACCTTTATCGTTATTTTTGTTGAAGACTACAAAAAATATTTGTAGATATTTGTATAGTACGTATTCATATGAGTGACTATAATATCTATACTCTAAATTATAAATGATATATGTCAAATTATTTTTGTTTTATTAATTTTCTCCGGTTGTTTTTAGCTCAAAAAGTTAATTTTGAAAAAACTCATTATGAGAGCGTTTTGAGAAGAGAGAATTCCTATGATAATATATCAATATAATATTTCTAAAATAACTATACAATTCGTTATTTACCATATAGTCATTTACAAACAATAGATCTTTTATTATATATTTAAAAGTCATATATATTTATTTGCAAAATAGCTAAAACTATCACATTTATTTGCAAGCATAATAGAATTATAGAATGTTAGTTTAATTATAATTATATTTTATTTATGAGAATAGCACATTTAACGGGAGTTGATTTGGTGACTCAAATTGATTTCTATCATTAAGGAATGAAATAACCCCTCACGATTATACTCACCACCATCCATGTAGAGCTTCTTCTACCTTGCTCATGTTGGATACTTGGTGTGAAATTACACGAGAATCCTACAAACTGATATGTATTTTTCAGTTCTTACAAATAATGTAAAAATAAAAAATTATAATTGAACATAAATTATAATTAAAAAACGGAAAGATTTTAGCCGAGGCGAGTAAAACTCTTTTCGCAAGAAGAATACGCCCCGTGTGACAGCTAACAGTTCACGCGTAATCTCCTCAAAGATACAACGGCAAACGTCTCTAAATCTGTAGTACACCAGATTTACGAGCTCCGGCGAACGGAATCGAGAATTGATCACTTAGAAATAAAAGGAATATTCTGAAACTAATAGAAATATCACTTGTTTCTTCTCTTTTGATATTTTTATACCGATATTTAGACATATATCTTTTTTTTCTTTCATTTCTCTTTCTTTCTTGCTTATTTTGGTGCATTTTTCTTCTTCTGGCCGAAGGCCTTTTTATAAGGGAGGATTACCTCCCCAATTGTAGATAAAAAAAATATATATATTTTTTAATTTAATAGCCAATTGCATGTGTGCATGTGGGCTTGTGGGCAAGTTGGCATGTTTGGCAAATGGGGCAGCGAGATGCCCTTTTATTTTATCTTTTCCTAACAGCTCACTCTACAATAAGATAGCCTCAGGCTTATTTCAACGTGCCCGGTGACCTACAGCCGTATTTGGCGGGTTTGAATTCGAGGATTGGCCGTGGGGTAGCGTAGTGCCAAAGTGGGCTGCGCTGGAGGTGTGATGGGGATGTTGATATGTGGATAGGCTTTTAGATTTTTTTTTTAACCTGGTAGCTACTGGATACGTTCCTAACATCCGACTAACCGTCCTGCAATCTTCGTGTGGGAGGTCTGTTCGTCTATGGCGGCGGCGACCTTATGGGCCGTTTTTTTCGATCTATGCGATTGTTTTTTTCAAAAGAAAATGATGGACTCCGGCGATTGCACGTCCTTCCCTCCTCCTTCATAGCGGAGAGGTCAAGTTGGAGATGACGAAGGCGATGGCCTAAGCTCGACAACGTATGTTGCGTGTATAGACAATATATTTTCAGTATTATGCTTTTGTTGGTCGTGCTTCGTGTGTTTCTCATTTGACATGTGCTTCATTTGTATTTAGGGCACCTTTTGAGGTGTTTCCTTGTCTCTGGTTTGGATTCACACTAGTAAGTCACTTGGTTTGTAAGTATGTTGTTAAGTTTTATTGAATTATTTTGCCGTTTCAGAAAAAAATATAAAACAAAAATATCTAAAAAATTAAACTAAAGCCTTTCCTATCAGCCAACAACAAACACCCGAAGGCGACCACTCAAGGAGATAGAAAGCCCTTGACAGATCTAGAACCTCCAATAAAGCTACGGGTGACTAGACCTGAACCCACAGTGGACCAAACCCCTCCATCCACACCAACCGACGGGCTCGGACGGGTACGATTGAAGGCGCGACCCGACATAGCGGGAACACCCTATCTCCCAACATCAAGAGAGGGTAGAACAAAAGGGAGGAGAAATCGTAAATATCTGCTCTGACCACTTGTAGGCAGCAGTTGGAGCCAACAACGCCGCCATTCACTCGTCGGAAGACCACTCCAACAACCGTCATGGCCGTTCGGGAAGAGAAAGACTCCACGCTGGTTAGAAGGGACCACTTTAAGGCTGGAGGCGCATCGCCTGGTCAGGTGTCGGTCGAAAACCGTAAAGAAGCAGAGCCGAGTGAAAGGAGGCACGATGAAAGATCAAGCAGACGAGGGTTTCGAGTAAGAAATTGGGGGTTTTGGGTTTTAGACTTATGCTTCCACAAATGCTTTTGAAAAATTTACGAAAAAAAAAATAAAATAAAATAAATTATTATTATATTATAAGTTTCTATATATCATAGAACTAGAAGTTTTGAAAAGTCGAGCATTTTACTAGTTTTTACAAAGTCAAAAACTGAAAATTTAAAAGAAGAGGAGACCCCGCAGAGGCCCCTACCATTGTTGCCAGTTAAACAATCCATTTTTTTTTTCTTAGTTTTCTGATCTCATTCTCGGTATTCGCTTCCTCTTCGTCTTCTTCATTTTCTCAGAAAAAAAAAAAAAAATAGGAGAAAAACATTGAAACATCGAGGTTCATTTGATCGGATATCGCAGAAGAAGGGTAAAAAAAATGGGGTCGCAGGAGCATTTGGAGAAGATGCAGCAGCGCCAGAATTATCGGAACCTGTGGCACACCGATCTTATGAGCACTATTCAACGAGATCCACCTTGTATGTAAATCTGTATCAAACCCTAATCGTGTTGTTGTGTTGTTGTAATATCGAGCTTCGTTCTTGACTTTTTTTTTCAATTGATTTTTGTGCAGATTGCTGCCTCTCCCTCTGGTGGTAAGTGATGGAGTTTCCAGGTTTCGTTTGTATACTATTTTTCTCTTTGTTTCCAGAATATTTGTTATTCATGTCGAGTTACGATCTGAGCTTAGTTTGTGGGTTTGCACTATTCCTCAGGTTTGGTGTGTTTTTCTTAATAATTGATTGATCTGTTTATCTTTAACGTTTATAAATACCAAGTTTTATAGGTTCAGTAGTTAGCTCGCTTGGTTTTTGGAGGTTGCAGGATCGGGTTCCTTTCGAGTAATTTTAGTTTAATTTCTTCTATATATTTATGTTTCTTGAAGGATCTTGGACTTTGGAGTGAGTTTTGATTAATGAATTATCAGCTTGAGGCATTTAATCATTCATTGTTGCTAAATCTTAATTGGATCACAGGAAACTGGTTTTGACTAAGATATTGTTTACTGTCATCGTTTTTTTTTTTTTTTT